TTTGTCATGTTTATAAATGCATTTTTACTAAAAAAATATGTGTATGATGAATTGGTTGAGAAAAACCCGGTGAAATATAAATTAACTCGAGGGTTAATATTTTTGCCTCCATTATGTCATGTGAAGAGTTATTCAATATTAAGACATTTCAGAATTTAAATAAAGACATTACTCGGAACAATAAACAGTACAAAGTTCAATATTGAAACTGACTTAACTATTAAAAAAACAAAAACAAAACGGTAAAATAATATAAATTGAATTTAAATACATTTAAGAATATTTTAGTTTTTTTCCATAGCTGGAAAAGATGCTTTGAATGTTCATCATAACTTAGATTCTTTTATATATAAATCAAAACGGTTAATACGGTAATTTTTATAATTTTGTTTGAAAAAAAAATTAGTCCCAAGAGCTTAAAAACAATCAAATGAATTCTATAGGTGTCCATGCTGTATGAAATAAGCAGTTTTATACGAGGATAAGTTTGACAAGTGTGTATATTTCAGCTGGGTTTACAGTATATTGACCGTTATTATGAAGTAATGTCATTCGTAAATCTACGGGTATTGGAGATAAAAACCTTGCATGCATGAATGATTTCACAACTAGCCTATAAAACTTAAAACGTAGTCATTATGATAATTTCGAAAAGTGTCCACTGTTACCGTTACAGAAACATTTGTTTACAAATAAATTGTGACACCTTGTTCGATTTATCTGACAGGTGTATGCAGTGAAGTATTAAATGCGTAAAAAACAGTCCCGTGTGAAATTGGAGGTATCTAGCGGTGGTCAGAACTTTTTCGAAGAGATGAAAGACAAGGGAGTGTTAAATATGTTAATAAATTTACCACGTTTACCAAATAAGCGGGAAATACCAACATTTTCAGCGGCAAATATTTCAATATGTTTTTTGTCTTTACAATCAGTTTCTATTTAAATAAATGTATTAAATGGGTGTGACAGTTGTGTCTTTTTCATAACAACTTTCTTAAATTGCACACGATGAAATTGTATTTTAATAATGTAACCTATCCCGTACCGTCAGGAATTTTGTATCCGTGACTTTAAAGTCTATAAAATAACTATCCATGTTTGAAAGTTGCGACACTTATAAATTAACTACGGTTGTAGCAATCATATTTCAACTGTAACAACCTTTTCGACGTTTAAGCAGCTTATCTAAGACTGTTACAACGTTTTGTGTGTTGGGGCAGTTATCAAATAACTGTTACAACTTTCAAAAGGTTGCAACAGTCGTATTATAACTGTGACAACTTTTTCGGCGTTTAAACAGTTTATTTATGACTGTTACAACGTTTTTCGAGTTGGGACAGTTATAAACCAACTGTTACAACTTGAATATAGCTGTGTTAGTCCTTTTATGAGTGTGACAGATATTTCTAGCGTTGTTGCAGTCGATTTATGTTAGGGACAAACACTTTAAAAGTTGGAACAGTTACAAAATAACTGCAACAGTGAAATTTTACAACTGTTACAACTTTATCAAACATTATCAGTCGTAGAACGACTGTTACTGGTATGGACAGTTGTTTTTTCGTCCAGTAGTGTCATTAGATTTGAACAAACACAACATGTAGGCAAAACACAAAAGTACAAACAATGTGAAACTGATAACAGGAAATTTTAACTAATGCGGAAATAATTGTAATTTTTTATACAAATAACTTTCACAATTTTAAAACAATTGTAGGAAATATTCAAAGTTTTACATTTGTTCCATTCAAACAAACAAAAATCACATGCCATAAAAACATAGATATCACAAGATAGTATCTATATACGGAAATGCTAGATGAATGACACAAATAGAATTCAATAATAATACATACAAGTCAAGTATTGATTACAGATTACATTATTAACTTAAGCATTTATCGAAGTCAATAACAGCTAATAAATAAATCATGATCTCTTAGACTAAAGTATCAACATGTGCATATCTTACAGATTTCGTGTAAAACTGTCAAGTCTGAGAAAGGCATGACCTTGTGCCATTCCAAAATATAAGTACATTATATCGACAGAATGTAGGACCGCAAGTATATATACTCAGCAATACAATTTAGTCATGTGTTATCAAAACCAAAATCATTGTAAGCCCTAAAGTCAGGGTGATACTTATACAAGTCATTTTTGTAAGTACTATTTACTTGTATAAGAAATTTTGAAAGATTTTTATTTTATTTTCAAGGTTTCAATATCCTCCTTAATCATTCCTTAAATTTACTTATAAAAGTATTTTATTTTTACAACCCCTTAAATTCTCAGGTATTGAAGGTCAAAACATGCCTGAATATTTTTTTCTGGATTTGATAATGAATTTTAATTACTGAAGAAACAAAGCAATGAAATCTATTTCGCAAAGATGTTTGAGTAACTGCACCAGGCCTTAAAAAAATCTCCCTAGAGGTTTTCAAATGAGCAGTTCAGTGTATTTTGAAGATAATAAACAAATGCGATTTCCATTGTCAACGAAATTACGAATAGAAAAGACAACTATTAATGACAATAATAAGATATCAAAAGCACAGTAATAAATGATGAATGGATATCTGAACCCATTAGTATGCATCGTGGAATCCGACAAGGATGTCCCTGCAGTGCAATCAATTTCGTTAGTGTAGTAGAGATATTATCCTGTAGGATAAGGCAAGACCATAACATGAAAGACTTTTGAAATAAAGATAGATTGGAAAACGCATTCAATAAAAATAAACAAACTTGCAGACGATACGACACTTTTTCTTTTAAACACAAAAGACATTTCAACATATTTAAATTTGATTCAAATTTTTGACGCATTATCAGGACTTAAATTAAACAGATCAAAAACAGAAGGCATTTGATCGAGAAAACATAAACACTGCAAAGAAAAAATATGAAAACCTCAACTTGAAAGATAAACCAGTTAAATGTTAAGGTGTTTTTTGTTGATGTAATAAAAATATTTGTCAAAAACTCAATGCTGAATAGCAATTAGAACAATCTCAGAAGATAATTAAAATTTGGGAGAAAAGATATCTAACAATGTTGGGAAAAATTACAGTTATTAAATCAATGATTACATCCAATATTACTTTTTTAGCACATAGAAACAGAATACATTGATAAATGTAAAAAAATGATTTACCAATTTTTATTGAAAAACAAAATAAAAAAAAAAAAAAGTTAAATGTAATGTATTACGCTATGATGTGATAGATGGTGGTCTAAAAGAGGGACGACAGATACCAGAGGGACAGTCAAACTCATAAATCGAAAAAAAACTGACAATGCCATGGCTAAAAAATGAAAAGACAAACAGACAAATAATAGTACAAAAGACACAACATAGAAAATTAAAGACTAAGCAACACGAACCCTACCAAAAACTGGGGGTGATCAGAGGTGCTCCGGAAGCGTAAGCAGATCCTGCTCCACATGTGGCATCCGTCTTTACATGATTAACATAGATGAATACATATAATATATCAAAATTGGGTGGATTAAAAGATTAGTATATGGAGATTGTGCCAATTGGAAAGTTATACCATTATTTTATTCTAATAAATTTGGCAAGAACTTCTTTATCTTTCATGTGAACATTGCTGGTAGTAAATCAATTCCAGGTTTAAATAAGCTGCAAGAATTGTTTCTAATATAGTAAAAGCATGGATAAAAAGCATAAAAATAGAGCAGCCAAAAATCTTTAGATCTATTCGACAACTCGTTATTTTGGGGAAATCAGTTCATGAAGATAAAGAAAGCCTTTCATTTAAAAACTGGATTGATAGCAATAGCATCTATGTAAACGACATTATAGATGAAAATGGTAACATATTCGAGAAACATATTTTACAAAACTCAAGATTAAATAAAAGTTGATGTCAGAATTTTTCTAATTAAAGAATTAAAGAAATTTTTACAAATTTTTAATATTTTTATTCAGAATGAGATTAAAATTCCTGTTGGTTTTAACCGATGAAACACAATGTTAAACATTGAGTTTTAACTTTCTTGATGATTTCTTGAGTAAAATAAAAAAATCGTCTAAAAAACCGGAATATTGATAACAATATTCTAACATTGAAGAAAACTAATGAGGAACAATATTGTGATATCAATTATTTGATTACAATAATGATGTTTGTATATATAAAGCTTATCACATGTCTGAACAGAAAACAGAATCTATACGTTGCATTTCTGTAAATATAGACAATGCAGTTTCCAATAGGAACTCCCAATGGGGCTAAAACTGTGACACTTTTACTATGAAGTTTCGTGAAAAATTATATTCTAAAATCGAAAGTTTATATGCACTACTATATTATTCAAAGGTCAAAACATAGGGCTGTGAGGCATATTTTCAACATTTATATGCCCTGAACTTGTTTAAACTTATACTAAAATTGTGTACTACCCATACCTTTACTTTTTGCCTACCTCAGAATTCATTTTGCACCGCAATAGTATGTTTTTATACTGGTAACAGTCCCAAGTTATGTCTCTATGAGATGAAACATAGAGGTCATATCTGGGAACCAGTATGTCAACAAATCAAATTATCTATGAATATAATATATCTCCCCAAAAGAGACGTGGTTTGAGAAACAGCTGTATTTACAATTTGCAACCTGTAAATGTGTATGCTGTATTTAAAGTAGAATTCATGTATATTTAAAAACTGCAGGTAAAATGTAAGAATACAAAATATAAATGTATTCTAGATAAAACTGCCAAATTGTTAAACTAATTTCTTTGTTTGAGAAGTATATGATATAGCAAAAATAAATGATTGGGTAAATTTATAAAACAGATAAATTTTACAAATTACACATTTGGAACTGAATAAGTGATATCAATTTAACCTTTCCCCGCTAAAAGTGACGATTGATAATGGGACTCTTTACCGTTAAAAAAAGAAGATAAAAAATGAAATATATATCAAATCTTAATGTTCTTTAAACTAGAGATAATTTTTAGAGATATACCTGTAAATAGGCTATAACACATCTACTTTAAAGTCCTGGCCGGTGTGACAATTTCTGTTTTAAAACCAGGAAGATTTTGATCAATTAACACGTTTACGGAAGAAATATTAAAATGTTCCGGAAACAATACTCATTTGCTAGATGATATATATAATTCGTCTAGACATCAGCCAAACAATGTTAGATCTGTAAATTTGCGCTAGCAAATTTTTTGTTCTTACCTCGCCGGGATTTGAACTCATGCTCCTGAGATATCGTGGCACCAAATCGCATTGCACTATGCCCGACGCGCTAGACCACTCGACCACCTAGGCTCTTTAAAAATGAGCTTTCGGTGGTCGGGTGTTACCTTTCCTCGTCAGTTTTAATCTAGCGTCGTAACACAGTACATGATATATACAGATGGGTGCTGTCCTAACTTGTACAAAAGTTAACTTTGAGCAGACTTGTTGACTGCTTTTCAAGTTAATTTGGGAAATTTTAAGCAGACAAGCAAGTTAACTTTGTCGTTGGTAGACCAGACCTACGGTCTGCTTTTTTAGGACTGCTGCATACCTATTGACAGGTCTGCCCAAGACCAGACCTGTGAACAGGTCTGCTCCAGACCAGACCTGAGGACAGGTCTGCTGCTGACCAGACCTGTGGACAAGTCTGCTATTGACCAGACCTGGGAACAGGTCTGCTTATGACAGATTACCGTGTTTAAGACTTTTGATTTTAATATGTAAACACTAATCGCATTGTTCTTTTTTCCCAGTATAGCAAATTTCTTTACTCGTTATATAGACTCTATCGATATTATACACATTAAAAAATTTGGTTTTTTTTCATATTCTTATATACATTAAACAATGGCTTTAAAATTACACACTTCTGATCACATACAGCTATCATTAAAGAAAGGAAAGTTTTTATTTAATTAGAAGGCGGATAGAAAGGTTATCCAACGCATCGGAACAATATTTTTATGTCATGGGATATCAACATCATTGTCGATGTTGCTTCGTTCCCCATTTTTTAGAGTCTCTTCCTAAATTTAACTTTATGCATTACATGGATATTTCATCGAAATTCACCTTGTTTGCCTTGGATTTACGATTCTGTTTTCGACAAAATATTCTAACGAAAATTGTACAGTGTCCGGATACATAAGGTGTTGAATAGTTATGAACAATCTCGTCAATTTCGTCAGATTTGTCTTTACTGATTAAAAATAATGATATGGGACTTCCAAAAAATATACTCGTTCTGCACATGAATGAAATAGTTGCCACTTGAGGTTCAGCTACAAACAAAATCAATCAACCGACATAATGTACTAACATTATACTATTCCAAGAAGAGAACTTCTTATACTTTTCATTATAAAGTAAAAATGAAATCATTCATGTCAGTGTTGGATGATGCTGTCAAATAGTTTTGTTATACACACCATCCTGAACTACTGACTTTAGTGATGGTCTAATATTATGAATACAGAGATGAAATGCTGACAATCTCAATTGATGCGGAAAAGATATAGCATTCATTGTTTTCCAATATTGCTTTCTGTTTCATTTGTATTATACTACAATTCATCCTGACATAAAAAAGCTTCTGATTAAATATAATGCAGCCATATAGATTTACATACTAGCTAAAGTGCAAATAATATCAGTTTTAGTTGATACGGTCAACACATTTTGCTATAGCAGTCAGCCTGAGGTATCAAAAGTACTGAAACTTTGTTACATATCACTATATTGAACAACAGGAGGACATGCTGGCACTCTAAATTCATGCGGACAAAATTTTGTATTCATTGTGTTCCAATATTACTGTCATTTGTATTATACATTAAATCCTGACATAAAAATATTACTGAATTATTATGCGGCTATAAAAATTTACATAATAAAGTGCAAATATGGTCAGTTTTGGTTGATATGGTCTAATAATTTTGCTATACAAGTCAACCTGAGGTATCAAAACTACTGAAATTTAGTTACGTATCAATATATCATGTATATTGAACAAATGGAGGACATGCTGGCACTCTAAATTTATGCGGACAAAAATTTGTAGTTGTTGTGCTCCAATATTGCTGTCATTTGTATTATACATTAAATCCTGACATAAAGATAGTTGCTGATTTACTATGCGGCTATATAGATTTACAAAATAAAGTGCAAATATGGTCAGTTTTGGTTGATGCGGTCAAATAATTTTATTACAGGAGTCAGCCTGAGGTATCAAAACTACTGAAATTTTGTTGCGAGACAATATTTTGATTAAAAATAGGACATGCTGGCAATTAAGATTTATACGAACAAAATTTTGTATTCACATTATCAGTGATTATGTTCCAATATTGCTGTAATTTGTATTATACAATACATCCTGACATAAAATATTACTGAATTATTATGCGGCTATATATTTTACATGATAAAGTGCAAATATGGTAAGTTTTGGTTGATACGGTCAAACAATTTTGTTATACGAGTCAGCCTGGGGTATCAAAACTACTGAAATATTGTTACGTATCAATATATTGAACAAAAGGAGGACATGCTGGCAATCAAAATTTATGCGGACAAAAATTTGTAGTTGTTGTGTTCCAATATTGCTGTCATTTGTATTATACATTAAATCCTGACATAAAAGTAGTTGCTGATTTACTATGCGGCTATATAGATTTATAAAATAAAGTGCAAATATGGTCAGTTTTGGTTGATGCGGTCAAATAATTTTGTTATAGGAGTCAGCCTGAAGTATCAAAACTACTGAAATTTTGTTGCGAGACAATATTTTGATTTAAAAGAGGACATGCTGGCAATTTAGATTTATACGGACAAAATTTTGTATTCACATTATGTTCCAATATTGCTGTCATTTGTATTATACAATACATCCTGACATAAAATATTACTGAATTATTATGCGGCTATATAGATTTACATGTTAAAGTGCAAATATGGTAAGTTTTGGTTGATACGGTCAAACAATTTTGCTATACGAGTCAGCCTGGGGTATCAAAACTACTGAAATTTTGTTACATATCAATATATTGAACAAAAGGAGGACATGCTGGCATTCTAAATTTATGCAGACAAAAATGTGTATTCATTGTGTTCCAATATTACTGTCATTTGTATTATACATTAAATCCTGACATAAAAATAGTTGCTGATTAACTATGCGGCTATATAGATTTATAAAATAAAGTGCAAATATGGTCAGTTTTGGTTGATGCGGTCAGATAATTTTGTTATAGGAGTCAGCCGGAAGTATCAAAACTACTGAAATTTTGTTACGTATCAATATATTGAACAAAAAGAAGACATGCTGGCATTCTAAATTTATGCGGACAAAAATTTGTATTCATTGTGTTCCAATATTACTGTCATTTGTATTATACATTAAGTGCCAATCTGCCTAAGAATCAGGCAGTGGTGAAAACATGACAAACAAAAACCCACTCAGGTTGACATGAATTTTTGTTCAAAATGTATAATGGTGCATGAATATAACATTCGTTTCCTTGTCCTGTTCTGGTAATTCAAGATATAATTTGGTTGAAATGCACTAGAAATGAAAAATTAAGGGGAGCTAACTCCGTAATTTGCTATCATTCTAACCAAAATTTATCTAGAGATTTCTCGAATTACCAGACACGCAGAAACGAAAGACCTACCATTCCTAACTCATGATGAGGGTAACTTCAAAATAGGATGGTTAGGTCGGTGGGTTTTTTCGGACATGTTTTGATTTTTTTCAAAATTGCCTGATTCTTACAAAGACTGGCACTTAAATCCTGACATAAAAATAGTTGCTGATTTACTATGCGGCTATATAGGTTTATAAAATAAACTGCAAATATGGTCAGTTTTGGTTGATGCGGTCAAATAATTTTGTTATAGGAGTAAGCCGGAAGTATAAAAACTACTGAAATTTTGTTACGTTTCAATATATTGAACAAAAGGAGGACATGCTGGCACTCCAAATTTATGCGGGAAAAATTTTGTAGTGATTGTGTTCCAATATTGCTGTCACTTATATTATCCATTCTATCCTGACATAAAAATATTTCTGATTTACTATGCGGCTATATGGATTTACATTATAAAGTGCAAATATGGTTAATACGATATAAAGAATTTGATATGTATTGGAATATATATTCAGCTCGTTAGCATTGTAACCATTATCGTTTTTTTAATATATAGAAAGGCAGATCACGGATAAGTTTGTATATAAACAAGCAAAGTTTTATGCGTACTTTATTTACAAATAGATATAAGAAGATGTGGTATGAGTGCCAATGAGACAACTCTCCATCCAAGTCAAAATTTAGGTCAAAGTACGGTTTTCAACACAGAGCTACATGTATCTAATCATGTTTATATCACGGAATTATTAAATTGACTTTATTTTTCTATGTTTATACCAAGAAACAAAGACATTAAAAAATATTTAAAAAAATCGATGTAGAGCGGTCCTGGTTACAAGTTAACTTAGTGTTGAGCAGACCAGGCCAAAAGTTAACTTGAGACCCGGTCTGGTTCGATCGGAATTGTCAAAATCAAAGTTAACTTGTGTTAACTTATGGCAGAACTGGGTTCGAAGTTAACTTATATCAATAGCGGACCTGTTTCCAAGTTAACTTTTTCGGCAGACATAAAAACAGTCCTAAGACCAAGTCCGCTTTTCAAGTTAACTAGATTGTGGTCCTAGGACTGGTCAGAGCAGTCCTAAATCCTGTCACAGGTTAACTTTGACCAGTCCAAATGACTGGTTATCAAGTTAACTTGCTGTACAGGTTAGGACTGCACCCATCTGTAAGTCATGAAGATGGAATTATTACAGATCAGCTGAATTATCTATTGTAAAGGATCCTACAAAGTAATGTAAGATGCAGTCACAGAAATAATTATATTATAAGTACGTCTAAACCTGTGACTACTCTACAACAGATTTAATCCATCGGATCACCAGCAGCCGAGTTAGCCAAAAAGATCAACGCACAAAAAGTGACGTCACATTTGAATTTCTGAAATTTCCCCAAAATAGGATA